ATTGTTATCGAAAAAATGAAGAAACGTAGGTAAGAATAAAGTCGAAGTAAAGTAGGTTAAACAAAACAAAACAAAACAAAAAAAAGTAATAAACAAAGGATAGTAACATTCAAAATTGTACAAACATTTATAAAAATACATCAACTTTTTTTGTAGAAATAAATGAAAAAAAAAAAACAAAAAGAAAAGAAATCTATTATTTTAAAGCAGAAAAGTAAAAATAAATAAATAGTAACAAGAACGAAGATTCAATGTAAAAAGTTAACAATAAAATGAAAAAGCATTTGATCTTCAATATGTATATTTGCATTTAAAAAAAATGAAAAATGAAAAATAAAAAATAAAAAATAAAAAGAGTTAAAGTAAAATGAACTTTTACATGTATTATCACTCATCATGGATGGTTTGAGTAATACAAGTTGACAATGTGGAAGATAAAGAAGGGGACGATAAAAACGATGGGTCTTCGATTTGAATAAAATTCGTAGAAGGTATAGTTGGATAATCTGAAGTTTCTACTGATAAAGGTAAAGTAAGAGGTGGAGACGACGGAGTTGAGGACAATAGTGGTTTGGATTTCTAGAAAAATTATATAAAAATATAAATAAGTAAATGGTTTAAAATAAAGAGAGGGAGGAAGATTAAATGCATTCTTCATGTAGCGAATTTAATAAAAATTGGCACACAGTTTAGTTTCTGTTTATTTTCCACTCGTTCCTTTTCACAGCTACCTAAGAAGAATTAGTTTTACTTTAGACATGAAAAAAATAATTAATTTACTATACCTTTTGATGTTTAGGACATATGAGTTCTGTTTGTTTGATCCATTCATGGTTAATAGCACAAGATACATGAACAGCACGAGTGCAAGAAGGTACAGAGCATTGAACACACGCGCCCTTTTTTATTTTGCAAATATAACATTTCTAAAAGGAGAAAATAGAAAGAAAGAATGGAGCGGAAAAATTATATACATAAAAATAAGGTGAAATAAGCAAAGGGATATTTAACCATTTTTAAAAATTGATTTTTATTTATCATTTATTAGAGATAAAACCTCATGTATGTACATGTGGACATACCAAAAGTAAGAATCGATCGTTTGGAACAAATTCAGAACCTAACACGTAGGTATTGCCGGTATCATCAGAATGAAGCCAAAGTTCAGGAATCCATTCAGCGCAAGACTGGTGAGCAGAACCCAACGTGTTTTGAACTGGGAGTAAGTCTAAAGTCGAAAGACTGGGACAGTACATGCACTAGAAGTTGAACCAAAAAAAAAAAAAAAAAAGGTTAAATCAAAATGAAGAAGAGTGGATAAAGTTAAAATGTAAGGTCATATATATATTTTTTTTTTTTTTCCTTTATTATAGTATAGTATATTTTTTCTGTAAGTACGATAAAGAAACTTACTCTTATCTTAATTAATCCATCTAAAAATAAATTCACGTACTGGAAAAGTATCTGAGGATTCAGTAGATCCGAACGTATAATCTCTATTATTTAAATCATTATAGGATGCGAATAGATCTGTTTTCTTCTTTCTTTTTTTTTGTTTCGATGGACGTGTACCCTCTTGAGTTTGAGCTCCACCAAGAAGATCGTCCATTTTTCTTTTTATACGAATTCTTGTATTTAGTTTACATTGGTCATCGAAGTTTTTTTTTTCCTTTTCTACTTCCACTACTTCCACGTTCTCCAACTTCGTTTGTTCTTGAGTAGGAGGAGGATGACCAAGATTCTCATCATGGCCGTCTTCTCTCCCTTGATAAATTCTCTCGATCCGATGAACATCGACCATGACTGCATCTTGAATACATTCACATTTCCGTGCAGAAACACCCACGGTTAACCATCTTGGTGTAGCGAAGTTGACGGATTCTGCACAGTTAAAACCCAAATTAAACCCTGCATGGTAGCCATACGGAAACGTCAAAATGAATTCCTGAGGTTCTTGGACGACATGAAACACTTGGAAGCCATGAGCTTTTAGAAAGGACGGAGAGAACACGTACGTTTTATGACGAATGAACTCATTGCAAACTTTATAATCGTCCACATAAATGGATTGGCAAAACTTTTCAAACTTTTTAGCTTGATGAGGTGAAATCGAATACCATTGTTTGGGGGCACCCAAATGTAAGTAATTAATGGAATACAAATCTACATCTTCTACATGCCAAGCAAACGTGGATCTCCATAATCCGAAATACAAGTACGGAACATTAACCCCTGGAATCTTGGTTTTGAGTTTCGATAATAACCCATCCAAACGATTGGGATTCCATGTAGTAGGTTGATCGTGTGTAAATAAGGTCCCTAATAAATCTGCTCCATAGATGGGTTTGCATGTACTCAAGTGTCTCCAATACACTTCTTCTAAATACATGTAATACGCAGGTGTGAATTTACATGATAATAAATCATCAAAATAAGGTCCATGTTGAGTGAGTTGATTTAAATCAACACTATCTCCCTTTTTTTTGGTCGTCGTGGGTGGTGGTTTGGATGTAGTATTTAATCTTTTTCCTTTCATGTTGTTCAGGGAAGATTTAAATGAAGAAGAGGCACCCCGTTCATTTTTTTGGGTTTCTAAAGTGGTAAAAAAGCAAGTAGATGGTTTTTTGATACTTGTTGTTGAAGCCGTTGAAGATGGAGTCCATGGTACATAGGCGGGTGGAGGTAAAGAGGTGCTAGAAAGGTCGATGGAAGTTGGAGGATGGGTAGGGTCGGAAGCATGGATAGAGGAATAAATTTGTAGTTTTTTGGATGCCCAACGAGTAACAGGTCTAGAGAGAGTGAACGCCGTGGAAGTAGTGGAAGTATTGGAGTGGGATGAAATTAGAGGAGTATTTTTTTGTTTTGGTTTGTATGCTTTATTAGAAATAGAAGTCTTTTCTTCGGGTTGACCCGTTTGTTGAATAGGTAACGTGGGAGGTAAGAGATGGGAGGTAGAGGAAGGAGAAAATGAAGAATGTGGAGAAGTGTGATCACGACCTGTGGTAGGGGAAGTAGGAGTAAACAAGCTAGGAGGATGTGTAGATACACTTTCTTGAATCTCCATGTAAGTGGTGCAACGTGGTGGAGGTGTGCTTGGTATTTTAGAATACAGTTTGGAAAGTAATTCTACGTGTGTAGCAGCATGGGTAGATAAGAATGGCGTTATGGAATCCTGTTGGTGAACATTTGGAGTGTTTAATTTCTTTTCATTTTTTGTATCCAAAGGTACATTACAGAGGTTAGTGAGAAGACTCTGAGAAGTGTGGGTCGTTAACACGGTTTCCGGTAATTCCTTATCTTTAGATGAAGAAGAGTTGGTGAGGATAGTGCTTTGATCGTTGGTAGAAGTAGTAGCAGAAGCACAAGAAGAAGAAATTGTAGTAGTAGTAGCCTTGGTCGAAGAAAGAGGGGTGAGTAGTGTTGTTTCCTCCTGTATCTTTCTTAGAGAGGAGGTAGGAAGAGTAGTAAGGTTGGAAGTAGAGTTTGTTGTTTCATTTGATGTAGAAGTGGACGACACCACAACGTAAGGTGGTCGATGTTGCTTTTGTAAACTTAACTTAGCAAACTCTGTCACTGAATACGATCGACGAATTTCCATGTTACAAAGTTGCATCACATCACATGAGGTTCCTTCAAACGATTGAGAAATAGGTTTTGAAATTTTAGCACGTGACAATGCAGGCCGTATGTCAGGCAAGTTTTCAATCCATTGTTTAGGAGGGATGACCTTGAGGATGCCATATTGTTGACCAAAATGATCAATTTGCTGAACAAACTGATCAAAATTTTGAAATTGAGCATAGGTGGGAGTAAAGACAGGAATGGAATGATTATAATAGTAAGCAGGTTCAATCAATGAAGAAGAGGAAGGTAAAGAAGAAGAGGAACTAGATAAGTCACAGGAACAAGGTGGCTGTGGATGAGTTGAGGTGGATGGGGTTAAAAGTGAGGAAGGTGTTTGAAAAGGGGAAGATAATGTAGAGAAAGGAAGTGATGCATGAAGAGAATGATCCGCAGCAGAAAAGTTAGAACCATTAGTAAGAAGAGTGGACGTCATGGAAGTAGTAAGTAAAGGTGAAGAAGGGTTATTATTTTTGTTTAAAGTGAGGTGAATAGGATTTGAATTGGTTAACATTTTTTTATTATTAACTTCTTTAGAGGGGAGAAAGGGAAAAAAAAAAAGGAAGAAAGAGTTGATGAGGTGGTGTATGAAGGTTTTAAAGTGAAGAACGTTTTATTTTTAGTATAAGTGCGTGTGTTCAAGAGTTTTGGAGTAGTAAGTAGTAAGTAAGTAGGAAGTAGGAAGAAAAGTTTAGATTGGATTAGTAAAGTGGTGGGTAGGATGATGACGAGTTATAGAACGAACAAGAAAAAAAAAGCTTTAAATAAATGGAATTTCATTCCATTTCAGCATTTTTATTATTATTTTTATTATTTTTATTTTTTTTTTCAAGTTTAACAAAACAACACCCACCAGAAAAAAAGATTTCAACTAGGATTTAGATAGATTTATTTGATGATTTTTATTTTTATTTTTATTTATAATTGTTTGGTATTGAATTGGATTATTCACTTGTATTGTTCGTTTGAGTTTTGTTATTGTTGTTGTTGTTGTTGTTGTTGTTTTGCTTCACATTTCAAAAAAGGAAAGAAAGAAAGAAAAACAAACAAACAAAAAAAAAAAAAAAATCCCTGTCTGTATTTATTCACCACTAAAGTTTATAAAATTTTTACTATTTTATAAAGTTTTAAAAATTAAAAAAAACTTTTTTCATTTTTTAAATGGGATGGATGTGATATAAAGACAAAACAATCAAAAAAAGTGGAGGAATGAAAATCTAAATCTAAAACTAATAATAATAATAAAAAAAATAAATATTTGATTTTCATTAATAAAATTTAAACCCTGCTTAATAAAAAAAAAAAAAAAAAATTTAAAATAATAAAATGTATCTACATTTTAATCTATATATTATATTAACACCAGTGCTCCTGCATCCGGCTTTATAGCTCAGTGGTAGAGCGTTGGTCTTGTAAACCAAAGGTCCCGAGTTCGATCCTCGGTGGAGCCAGCCTTTTTTTTTTTAAAAAAATTTTATTTTATTTTTTTACATGATACAAAAGAAAATCTAATTTACTCTCGAATTCATATTTCAATTTTTTTTTTATTTTTTTTTTATTTTTTATTTTTTTGAAGGCACACTTTTAATAATCAATAGAATTTTATGGTTATACTTTATTTAGTGTTTGTAAATTATGTAAAATTTATTTTTTGCTTTTTTTTACTGATATCCGTCTTCATAACATTTTTTATAG